AAAACTTCCAGAACACGGCCACACAGCCTGGAAGACCCACACCACCCATCGTATGCCGGCCGTGAAAGCCTTCGACAATACAGGGTGTACTTTCTTTTTCACACGACTGTACATATTATTTCTAGAGCACTGCAGCCAACTGGAAGCATCCATGATCTTTGTCTACAGTCTGGACAGACCTGTTCCATCCCTAGGCTGAATGTAAAAGTCAAGCATGCATGACACTCATTGGCTGTTCCCTCTGATATCCTCGGGTATCTTCCCATCTCAGTTTTATAATACAAAGCCCAGAAACAAAATGGAAGAGGCAGTTAACGCCTGGACTGTAACATTGGGAGGAAGCTGGTCTCATTCTACACAGGTTACCTGGTTGTCAATTTTGAGTTCAATTAGTGTTGTGTTGTACTGCAGTGCTTCTATCAGGGCCAGGATTCCAGATCCAGTAATGAAATTTGATTCCACATTTAAGCTCTTCATCACGTTGTTTACTTTTAACATTTCTGCCAGTGCCTTCCATTGAAAGAAAAAGACAAAGAGAAAAGCAAAATACTTGTGTATTATTACGGTTGCTAATTACTTTAAACAAAGGTCTAACGATAGCATCATTACTACTGGAATGCTATTTTTGTCATAAATAACTACACTGCTAACTCAAACCAGAGTTTTCTATTTCCTTTATACCAGTGATCTCTTGGGTGACCCTGGGAAACCCATAAGGAAGCTTTGACACATCACAGGGTTGTTGTTGTGGGGAACATAAGCAGTGCCCTGCTGGACTGGACCCCTGGCCCATCTAGTTCAGCAGTCTGTTCTCACAGCAACCAACCAACTGCTCAAGAAAGCCCACTAGTTGTACAAAGCAGAGGCAGGAAATAAATCTAATAATGAACAAACTAATGTAACTAAGATTATACTATATGTGAAAATGGAAATTAGTTTTTAGTGGTTAGAAATAAACTAGGATAACAATACAAGTCCTCAAACTTGGGTAATGATCAACCTGAGAATTCAGCCATAGAGAGTTCTTCATAAAGAGTACACCTCTGTTGCCAAAGAACTTGAAATCAGCCTATGACTGAATATATGACAAGCCTCAAGAGTATAAGAAACCTTCTTAAAGTGATCTTGTTCTAACTCTACGGACTTGTATTCCTTGGGGAACCTGCAGTCTTTTTAGTGGATCTTTCCAGCGTAGACTTTTACAGAATGAGTTCCTCAGGTGTTGACAGCTCAGGAAGCTCAAGGTACCCAGTCCCCTTCCTGCTTTACTCATTGCCCTAATTCCTTTTCTTTCTGTCAACCACAAGTATGTCATAACTCAAACAGTTTATAATGAGTATGGTTCATTAGAAGCAAGTCACAACCATTTGAGTAAGGAATTGTGTAGTTCAAACAGCTGTGTAACCCTTATTTTCACCCATGAAAAGCATACAATCATAGAGTTGAAAGGGACTTCAAACCATTTAGTCCTAATCCCTACTCAATGCAGGATCTGCTAAAGCATCCTGGACAAGTGGCTATTCAGCTTCTGTTTGAAGATTTCCAGTGAAGGTAAATATACTACCTCATGAGGCAACCTATTCCAATGGTTGACAGCTCTTATTACCTGAAAATCCCTTTAAGTACTTAATCTGAATCTCCTTCCCTGAAGTTTCAACCCACTGGTTCTGGTCCTACTCTTTAGGACAGCAGAAAAACAGTTCACTCCCTCTATATGACAACCCTTTTTATGTCTACATCTGAAGATACTATCACATCTTCTCTCAGTCATCTCTTCTCCAGGCCAAATGTACCCAATCTTTAAACTGTCCCTCACAGATATAGAGGAGGGAGTGAACTGGTTTTTCAGGTAATAAGAGCTGTCATAGGATTTGGTTTCCAGTCTCTTCACCACCTTGATAACCTTCTTCTGAACTGACTTCTGAAAAGGCAGCATCCTGACAACAGACTTGCATTTCACCCAAACAGGCTGTTATTAAAGGAGACAATCCCATTAAAAGCTTTCTTGAGAAGATTAGGTAGAAGCCATCTGACACTTACAAAAGCAACAGGGTCATTGCTTCTTGTTCCTACTATGCTGAACTTTTTCACGTAGGTATTATTCTTCAGAGCTTCAGCGTAGGCTTTCAAAATAGGTACAGGAATATCCTTTAAAAGAAGAACACCAAACAAGGGTGATATGAGCTGTTTTACTGGCATACGGTCACATATTCCAAGGAATCATGGAGCTCCTAAATCCAGATAGCCTTTAAATCCTTTTCAAACCTTCCAGTTCTGTGCTGCCATGCTGCCCTTCCCCTGCTAAGCTCTGAACCTGAAAATAAACCCATTTGGGATCATTTTCATAGGCTGGAGTGGGAGCAGAAGGTAGGGACCTTGTTTCATTTTAAAAACACGTAGAATAAAGCCGTGGCAAAATATAAAATATACTGCAAAGAAAACCAAGCAACTGCACTTGGAAAGTAATAAGTCTGTTTGGTCCTGCCATATTTTAGAGTCTTCCTTGATTTAGAATTATTGTCCAAAATGTGTCTGGAACAAAACATGTGCAAATAACATAGCAGTCACTTGGTTTTCTTTGCAGCATAAGCTTTGTTTCATATGTTAAATGTCACAGAGAAAGATAGGGAAAGCATCTATCACATTAATGCCTATCATATTTTCCCTGAAATGATCAACTGCTTTTTGATGGAATGAATAAGTATACTGTTTAGGACTACAGCCTCAGTTTAATTTCTACTTTATGATTAAACTATAGTTCTGGTGTGAAAAAGATACCTTTGTTTCAAGTAGCTAACTTTCAGGAGTCTATTTATCTCTAAGTAATGGAGGGAAAAGTCATTTCTCTTACTCTCTGGAGCTTCCGGGGTCATGGAGTGGGGAATGCAGGTGGCAGCATCTAGCCAACCTTGGCTGAGCTTGAAAAAAGGCATGCAGATTCAGTTTGGTAAATACTTGAATAGGAGACCATTCAAGGTTAGCCTGGGACATCTTAAAAAACCTTGGAAGAAGTTAATAGCCACTTTGGTCTCATTGTGAAGAAACCTCTTGACCTCTTGATGGCTTTCAATACCATTGACCACGATGTCCTTTTGGGTCAGCTGAGGGAGTTGGGGGTGGGGGGCACAGTCTTGTGCTGGTTCACCTCCTTCCTCCAAGGCCAGTCCCAATCAGTGTTGATAGGGAGCGAGAGGTCCAGCCTGCAGCCCCTGCTTTGTAAGGTGCCACAGGGCTTGGTGTTCTCTCCGCTCCTTTTTAACATCTGCATGAAGCCACTGGGGTGAATTAAGTGATGCTGTGGATGTTCTTTCATGGTACCTGGAGGCTGTGGGGGTCTGGATGGGGAACAACAGGCTTCAACTGAACCCTGGTAAGACACAGCGGCAGTTCAGGGCTCTTCTGTATCTGAGGTTTTACCATCTTTGGTTCTGGATGGGGTTGCCATCCAGATAGACCCAGTGCACAATCTGGGGCTCCTCCTGGACTCATGACTCCTGCTCAAGGAGCAGGTGGCAGTCATGGCTAGGACAGCCTTTGCTCCACTTTGGGTTGTGCGCCAGTTGCGCCCCTTCCTGGATTGGGAAGCCCTTCTTTCAATCACTCATACCTTGGTCATTTCCCACACAGACTATTGCAATGAACTCTACACTGGGCTACCCCTGAAAAGCATCTGGAAGCTGCAACTGGTACAGAATGTGGCGATGCGGGCAGTTTTGGGTGCCCTTAGGGCTGCACATGTAGCACCTCTGCTGCGTGAGCTGCATTGGGTGCCAGTTTGCTTCTAGGTCCAATTCAAGGTGTTGGTTATGACCTTTAAAGCCCTTCATGGCATGGGCCCAGATTACCTGAGGAATCGCCTCGTCCTGGTTACATTGGCCTGTCCCACCCGGTCCAACAGGAAGGGCATGTTGCGGACCCTGTCAACTAGGGAATTTTGACTGGTGGGGTCTAGGAGAAGAGCCGTTTCTGCTGTCGCCCCTGCCCCAAGGGGGAATATCTTGATCCCCCCAAGGTGAGATTGGTCCCCATTCTTCTGGCCTTCCGGAAGTGTGTTAAGACCTGGCTCTGCTGACTAGCTTGGGGATCCAATGGGGGCTCCCAACACTGGGGGTGGCTGATGCCTTGAGGATGCTCTCTCTGTTTTTTAACTTTGTTTTGTAGTTTTTAAATTGTTTTTATGCTTCTTATTTGTGAGCTGCCTAGACTCAGTTATATAGTGAGATGGGTGGCATATAAATTTGAATTTATGAATAAATAAATAAAATAAATGATGTATTCCTGCAGTCACCAGGAGTTCAGCTCAAGTTGAGTTTTTTACCTTAAGGACTGAGGAAAATTTTCAAAGAAAAAGAATGGGCAGAATAAGCATTATAGACTCCTGTTTATAAACACCCTTCTATATGTGCTTATCCCCCCGCCCAACTTCACTGTGATACTTGTATTATTGCAACCAGCATAATTTAATACAAATAATTTTCAGAAATAAAAAGTAGTTCTGCCCATAATTCCAACTGTTTTAAACAAAAGGCTCTTAGTGGTAATTATTCAGAATTACAGTTACACTTTCCCAAAAAGTAAAAGAGCAGAACAAAAATGTTGCCTCTGAATTATTAAGTATCCAAAGAGATCTACTCAACTAAAGAACTTTCAGGAATACAATAGAGCAAAACACAAAGACTAGCTATTAAATAAAAAATACATTAAAATCACTTGGCTTTGAATTTTCTCTCTGAATGGTAGGTATTATTTATGTAGGATAATTTATGTATGAAAGCATTAAAATATTATTCTTTAGCAACCAATTGAAATTATAGACAATATCTTGTTTTCCTAACTGCCTCAAACAAGTCTAAGCTATTGGCCAAATCTATAGGACTTTCTATGCAAGTCACATTTTGATTCTCTTATATAATCTCATTCTTTTCCAAATGGCTCCTTACATTGCAAGTAATTTAGTAGGCTATGCAACAAATTTGCCCCTTCTGCCTACTCAATGGAAACTCGGGTAGAGAGGAATCCATACCTTAATATTATTGAGATTGATTTCCTCAAGCTCTGGATCATTGTTTTTTACTCGTTCCAAAGTTTCTTCTACATTGGTTGAATTTGGTTCATCAGGAACTGGTTTATACTGGGTGGGCTTGATTATACCTACATGAAAAGGAGTGCAGGAATAGAAGAGATAAAGACCTAGGGTCCACTTGCTTCTGACCAGTCTTTAATGGTACAATGAAGAAAGAGGGGGTGCCTCACTTTTACTCCTCCTGCGAGTTCCAAACCTGCATCTTCTGAAATTCACAACATTTCTAGCTATATTTGTTTTACTGGGGACATAAGTGGAACAATCTGATTCTCTGATATAGGGCCCTTATGCAAATAAATTAAAATAAGTTCAGCATCAACCACTGATGCAGTTTTAAATTTCTACGGATCAAATGGTGATGAAAATATCTTCATTGTTGTATAGAAACACATGGAACAGACTCAGCTTTGGTAGCTTAATAACTAAGCTGCATTTTTATTCTATTTCCTAAAAAAATGCTTTCATGTGCCTCTGACAAATGCACAGAACAAACAAATGCACAGAGCATCAGCCTTTTCAACCCATGCTGGAAAAAAACTGAATTTAAATAAATAAATATAGTAATAACGCTTTATGTCTCTTAGCAGTAACACTCAGAGGATAGTATGATTTATAGATTTTGTACGGACTGTGTGTTTACGATTTAACTTTTTTTGTTCAGCTTAGAAATAAAAGAAAAGAAAAAAACCCACACATTTGAACATCCATGCTTGGAAATTGTCCTATCTTTTTTGTTGCATAAACTGCATGCCAGGAAGGAAAGCTTTTTTTCTGTAATTCATTATAACTCTGGCTTAAAAAAAAAAAAGTTGAAATCTACAATGTCTTCAGTATAGACATTGACAATGTAATTGCTTCCTTAGTAAACAATGACAAATTGTATGTCATGAAAGAGACTCCCCACCACCAGAAAATAAGAGAAAAGGTTTTCATATTATATAGGCATGTGTTTAGAAAATGTGTTTCTGTCTTTGATCAAATTCTGAAATGTGTATTTATTTTTCTGAAACTTCCATATAAATAAATTTAACATTTCTACAATATCAATAATTCCAACATTCTCAAGTGATCTGCTTTGTAGAGGGGAACATGTTTCTCCATAATCAAGCCTAGACAGAAATCACTAACCAGTAACGTTCCCTGGAGTTTATTTCAGAGAAACAACTTTTCCCAGGGCACAGGACCCAAAAGAGGTAGATATTAATTCATTTATGGATGTACATTTATTATAGAAGTGCCACTAGCACATTTACCTAAAAATTGAAGATGATTCCCTGAAAGAAAAACTAAGGAGAAGAAAAATTATAAATCCAGCAAAAATCCTACCCATTGCCCAGCTTTCCCACCTTGTCAAACTAGGTTTGCTGACTCCAGTTGAAACCAAATCTGGAGACTCTTACTGCCCTGACAATAAGCAACTCTCTCTTACCCACAAATGCAAACCATTCTCACAAATAGAAACACGTGCAAACACATTCCCCTTCCTCCTTCCAACAGAAAGAGAGGGAGGGAGGAACAACTAGAATGGAGCTGGGGCAAGAGGAAATTGTTCAGAGAAGGAGAAGGAAGATGACATGAAAAGAAATGGTCCACAATAAGCTCTACGCATACAAAGGGGCAGAGTTTGCCTTGCAACAGCACAAGGCTGCTTTTGTCATTTTGATGAAAGCACTGAATTTTGGAGATGCCTAGGAAGAGGAGGCAGGAGAAAGGAAGAAAAAAGTATATGGAAACAAGGCTGGGAGAAAATAAGTCCTACTTAGTATTACAAAAGGTTTAAATTCAACAGGTGAGAAGCCCTCCCAAACAGCAGCTAATTTTTAGACTAATCTTCAAAAGGACTCTGTGATATCTGGAGCCATTTGCAACTCATGCTTATTCCTTTGTTTTCACTATCTTCTTCTGCTCTTTATCAGCAAATGTAGGGACCCACACAATTATTTGGGGGGAAAAAAACCAAATTTACGGGCTGGGCAATTATCTGGACTTGAAGGGAAAAAGGTGATTCTGAGTAGTGTGGAAATATAAATCACACCTGTTGGCATCTTCTGATATCAAATGTGTCTTCACTAAGTATGACAGGAGCATCTTCACTAAGTATGACAGGAGCACCTTCACATATTCTGAATCTGCTTTCCCCTCTTAAATCTGGGTTGCTCTACTGACTTATTAACTGTGATAATAACATTGCTGCTTTTGACTCACTTTGCTAAACTACTGTAGTGTTGCAAATCTTACTTACTGTCCAATCCTTCTTTGTTGACTATAGTTGTAGTCCCCCGCGCTTCATAATATTGTTGGTTACTCATCAACGTATGCATGCCAAGAATAGCTACACGAGAGAAGAAAAAAATCAAACAAAGAAAGTTAAATATATGTATAGATTTCCCCTTCCTGGGAAAGTGATAATCTGGCCAAGACACAAAGCAGCCTAGAAAAAAATGTGAAATATCAGTGATAAATGATTTTATTTATTTCGAAAGGGACCATTGAGAAGATCCATTGAAGCTCAGCACAACTTGTATGCTCTCACAGAATGTGATTCCTTGTTCCTTCACAATTGTTTTGGCTAATTAGAGGGTTTTTTTTAAAGTAAGCAGCAACTGACTACATTGTGGATCCCCTAACTGATATGCCAATTACTTGTATGCCCTATTAAATGTGAGAGAATTTCACTGCATCCACCCAAATACCTATGGGAAATAGGAGTGGAATGAATACAATTCTCTTCACCACTTGGCAAGATGCTACAGCTTACCAAGTCAGCTGGATGCACAAAGCAATATTGCCATTGCCATTTAGCAAAGGCTCAATCACATTTGTCTCCCAATTCCAGTATGAGTAGAATCTGAGCTACCACCAACATTTGTAAGGGCATATTTGCCCTTTTGCTCTCAAAATAAATAAAAGCTGGACATTCTTATTTGATCTCAGAGTTAGTCCACACCTAGCATTTTATTCTGACATGCTTTCAATAGCACACAAAAACATTAATATCTTATAAAACTACATCCATTCCTAGACTAGGAAACATGCAACATTCTGGACAGTGGTACATATGATAGCAACTTTTTGTTAGGAATATAATAAGTTCTGCAGTACCACAAGTGATAATTGTATGTTTTTTAGCCAGTTATTTGCACGTATATGTTGCAATGAGCACCATCCTAGAACAGGCATTCCAAACTTGCATATGAGAGAAAAGTGAGTGGCTCTTTTCTAAAGCAGTGCCTGCCACCCACAATTTTTTAAGTCCTTAAAAAATATTAAATTAATTAGGGAGAGATTTTTAAATGAATAAAATATTTTAAATCACATTTTCTTGGTTGAATGACTAAGACTACAGTCCTAAGAAGGGTTTGTCAGGGTGCAAACCTATTGGGATCTTCAGCTGAATAAACAAGGATAAAATTACACTGAAAACATTATAGGCCTAAATTCTGCATATATGAATTATCATCATGTGAAAATTTCTTGCTTGCTGGCCACCCAGTGAGTGAGATTCTGGCAAACTCATAAAATTCTAGAGCCTGTATAAAATAAAAGCCCAACCACAAACTCATCCATGATATTCCACATAAGCAATATCAACATTCTCTGTCAATGTTGATATTGTCAACAGGCTTTCCTCTTTCATTCATTGTTACTAGGACTGGGCTGTGGAAAGCTGGACAACTGCTAGAGGGTTGCAGAGAGATACAGAAGACTCTTTGCAGCCCTGATCTGGTAGTCCAAAGAGAGCCACCTGAGATTATTTGGCAGGGTTTTATAAGCATAATTTCCTGTGCATAATTTGTTTGGGAATCACGATGAAACAAAGATATAATTTGTTTTATAAACAGAGATTTTAGGAGGCCAAATCCATCTGGGCCTTGAGCTGCCTATCAAGGTGCCATCTAAGTAGAAACAGGATTATATAGAAGCTTCTACAAAACCTGGGGCAAATGTCTTACCTTAGGCTACCTTCCCTAAAGGATGCAATAGTCATGAGGCTGTGCTAGGTGGGTCCTTGTCCCAGTTCCAGATTTCCCATGAACAATGAAGCCTCTGAATTTGTGGTTGGCCTGTGACAAAGCCTAGGTCTCATGTTAAAGCAGATGAAACCAGCAATGACATCTATTCCAAATCAAACTTTTGCTGAACTACCAGGGAGGGAGAAGACAGCAGGATTCACTGTCACTTCTTTTGTGTGTTAGTACAATCCCATTTCAAACGCAATGTCTGCAAATCTGGCTCTCCTTGCTTAGAAAATCCTGTTTCTGCAGGAATGTCTATTGCTCTAGCAGTTAACTTGTACCACTACACACTAGCAAAATGAAACAGGATGATGGAATGAGCTGTATGATTCAGGTAAACATAGCACTTCTAAATTGTCCTCTCTATATAAAAAATATCTTTACGTATTTAATCTGTTGTATTATAAGCACTAGCTTCAGCCATGCTCCAGCAGTTCTTCAGCAAGCAGCAAAAAGCTCAGAGCCAGATGTTCAGTTACAATGGACCCAACATTATATATGCTGAAATGTATCTTCTAAAAAACCTCTTCATATTGTTTTTTTTAAAAACACAATCAAATTTGTCTTTAAAAACATCAAACAAAATAATTACAAAAATATTTTTCTTTTTTAACCTAGTGGCTTCCCAATTAAGGTTTCTTCAAGAAACATTACTAAGTTAAATTGGTCTCTTGTGATATCCCAGCACTTTCAGCAGGGGGCTAGAATGCATTACAGCACATCTTCAATGTATTTGATGCCTTATTTTCTCTTTGTGCTGGGTGCTAATGAGAGCTATGGAACTTTTCTACCAGCTGTCTTGCATGGGAATGTGTCCTAGAAGTGCTGTACTCTCCTATGGCTGGCTGTACAATGCAAGGAAAACTTGCTGGTGATAGACCAACTGTTTGGACATGTGTGTCTGTATGTGTCCATGTCCCCACACTACTGTTACCTTTTCAATCAGAAGCCCTAAAATGCTGCTGAGAATCCTAAAGTATATACTTGGAAAATCACTGACTTGGAAAAATGTGCCAGCAAATAAGAATGAAAACAATCTATAAATGATTTACCAATTCAACCTGAGATTTTAAAGAATATCAAGCCATGTCTTGTAAACAGCAGCCATACATTTTCATTAACCAGCTTCTCTCATATTTCTGTCTGCTTCAGCCCAAGAATCAAGACTACCTTATGTAAATGAGGCTTCTGTATGCTTTTAAAACAATTTGGAAGAAATGCCTGCCTCTCTGGTTTCCCTCTGGCTTGCTGGTGTCACCTGCCCCACCCTCCTGTGCTGTGGGGAGATAAGGCCTATTTGATTGGCCTGCCCTAGGCAACTTATGGACCCAGAGAGGTTCCAGAGTGAGAGTCGGCAGTTTGGCAGAGGCCTTGGTCACACCTTGTAGTGGTTGGATTGTGGACCATGTTGCCCTTTGTGGCCTCTCCTTGTGGACGGCACCTTAGCTTACCAAGGAGCTCCAGGAGATGAAACTCCCAAAGGGACAGCTGGAGCACCATTGGAGGAACTCAAACAGCGAAGTGATCAAACACAGGTAAGAGCCCCTATTTGGGATTATCTTGTGATGATAAGGACAGCAATATTTCTCTGACCTTATTGTGTCTACCAATTAGACTGTTGCAATGTGCTTTACATGGGGCTGCTCTTGAAGACCACTTAGAAGCTGCAGCTGGTAGCAGTGCAATGTAGGGTATGCCTTGTTATGCTCTGCAAGCTGCACTGGTGGCCAGTAGGCTTCTGGGTGCAATTCAAGGTGCTGGTTATGACTTCTAAACCTTTTCATGTCATAGCG